TGTATCCAGACCTTCCCCCCCTCGAACCAGATCCCAGTCCGTTCCCAATGCTACAATTCTAACAACTACCAAACCAGTACCAATCACACCGTCGACGACCATTATATCCGCTACCAAACCGTATTATCACCAAACCAAGGACAAATCATTATGGAAGCTACCTGCTCTAAAGAAATCTACCTTAATAATTGGATCATCTAACCTGAATCGAATTACCAAAACCAGTTCAGACACTGAAATACATTCTTCCCCTGGTGCCCAAATCCATCATATACAGTCAATCCTGGAATCATACGACCATGATCCCAAACCTACTATCATTATTCTTCATGTAGGCCTCAACAACCATAATCAGCTACCAAAGACCTCCTTTAACCAAGCCCAGAAATTAATTGCCACAGCCAACAAAACCTTCCCAAACTCCAAGATCCTCTTCACATGTATACCCATTTCAAATGAAATCTCAAAGAAAGCACAACAGAACCTCAGCACACTCAACAACATGATGATGGAGTCCAGTATCAACAGCGCAACAATCTTACCACCCTATGAAGAAGAATTTGAACCAGTTGATAATCTTCATTGGTCTCCAGAAACAGCAAACAGCATTTATTGTTTTGGATACACCAGCTTCAAGCATCGAGTAAGTCTTTAAACTAATTACTGGGGATAAAAATACTGAGAGGCCACCGCTAGGCCAAACTGTAGTTAACTTGAGCCGCAAAATTCGCACACCCTTTCAGCATTCAATCTTAGACCGTCGACTTAAATTTATTCCCACACCAAATCTTAGCTGCACATATTTTTTTCGAAACCACGTGGTGCTAGAACAATGTTTATTCCTAAATCCACGTGGACACCCCCTCAGGCCGCCATCCATCCTGAAATATTGAAAGCATTTGCGAGTATGAATAGCCAAACAGTAAACCTTTCCATAACACACGAAAAGCCTAATCTCACACGAGTGGAACGTGAAGCGTTAAACTTAATTAAGTTTAAACTTGTAAAGTTTGATTATAAAATGTTACTAGTCCTCAACCTAACCCTAAATAATTCAGATTATAGTATGTTTTGATTATAAAATATTACTAGTCCTCAACCAAACCCTAAATAATTCAGATTATAGTATCTTTTGATTATAAAATGTTACTAGCCCTCAACCTAACCCTAAATAATTCAGATTATAGTATCTTTTGATTATAAAATTTTACTAGCCCTCAACCTAACCCTGAATAATTCAGATTATATTATCTTTTGATTATAAAATGTTACTAGTCCTCAACCTAACCATCCTAATTAAAATTTTACAGGCCACAATTACAATTACTTTCTTAATGAATAAATCTTTGTTATTACAAATTGAACATCTTTTTGTTGAATTTCAGATGGAACAAGATATCAGACATAATCAAGGCCTGTTCTAAAAATGTTAGGAAGCATTATATATTAATTGGTAGTGAACGATATAGGAAGATAAATACTTTTGAAAACACTGCTTCTGGTTGCCGCTCTTTTTAGGAATTCATCCAAAAATATGATCCCATCATCCTTTCCAAACGTGCCAACATTTTCAAGAAGCAGATCCATTCAGATTCCAGTTTATCAAGTGTAAAACCTCTAGTTTTCATTTATGATAACCCAGATTGTAAAAGTTGTAGCCAGAAGCTTAAAGTTAGAAATGTTCCTGCATTTCCTATAGTGTACACCAACGTTAGCTTCCAGTTATAGTTCATACGGTGACAGTTGCAAAATTACGTATTTTTATTCGTATATAGAACATCAGAAAAAAAAACATTATCTACCCACTGTCTAAAAAGGGAAATATATTCAGCTGCCATCAATGACATGTTTTTAAATTGAAGTGATTAATCAAATTCATAGACAATTGACTTTTGGGCACATGAGCTTAACTACATCCACAGAAATGTATAATGATCAGTTTGAATACACTGTTAAAGAAAAGTTAGTTCATTTATGTAAATTTAAACGACATAGTAATGACGATTGGTTGTTAAATGAACAGCGTGCTGAAGAAATGTGGTTTATTTGGCAATTTTAAGTTATGTTAGTTTATATAATCTTTGGGACGAAATATATATTGAAAGTGAAAAATCGAGTAATAGAAGAAATATTGATGAAATTTGTGAAAAAATATTACAGTGTATCCCTGAGTCAAGAAATGTGGTAAGTGGTATATTTTGTCACGTGACTGTATAGTTTGATGACTTCTGTTTTTTAACTCACAATATTTCAATTTTAACAGTGCCCTTTAATTACTTAGACTTCCCAATAGTTAAACAGCTTAAAAAACACTTTATCAGTGTGAAATGGTGGAAAATACACTTCCAAAAAGTAGGAGTCCTCTGTTACAACTCAATGCCTTTATGATATAAGGACTGATCTATTTTCCTTGTAGGTTGTTTCACTTCATGCTTAATTAACCATGTCTGACTATTTAGATGTTTAACAAATGACACGTCTACCTAATGGGATATTACATTTTTAACCAGTCATACATAAAAGGATTTATTTATAGGTTGTAAAACATCTCTCTTTATTTTTTTAGTGGATGGAGCATGCATGCGATATAAAAGGCTGCAAAGTCGATAGATGGTAATGAAAAACTCAGGAGACCAATGTGCAAAGCCCCAAAGGTAAATATGAATTTGAAATTCGGTATGCCTAGAATTGTGCAATGCTATATGAATTCGCCTAAATTTGGAGGCTTAAATAAAACTTCCAGTAAATATTGTGTCCAACATTCATATTTGGAAGACGATATAAGTGTAGAGTCTGATTGTAACAGGCCTCGGTATATTTGTAAGAAAGATGCCAAAAACGATTTAAAAATAACTATAAGTTTAAAAGACTATGAAAATTCATCCTCACTATTAGCAACCAGTACACAAGACCTCCCTGATAATGATGACACTTCAATAATGATTGGTTGTAAAAAAAAGAAAACCTTACAAGATTTTATGCCAGAACAGCTGGAATTCTGGCAATGGTGAAACCTTGTGGAGTCATAACACATGTAAGTGAAATGTTCACATGTGAAAGCAGTTCACAAGTTTTTAGTTGGCTGCTCAGAATTGTTGAACAATATCCAGGCACAATAAAATATATTGGTTACGATCGGGCCTGTGAATTGCAACCCTTTTTATCAAATCTTGCTAAGAAAGATAACTTAGGTGCTCAATTGATTTTAAAAAATATTCAGTTCATGGTGGATATATGGCATTGTGAAAAACATAAAGAGGCCAAATGCTATCTATTGAAGGACAATCCACAATGCAGATTTCATCCCGGCCTGGAAAGATTTTCTGAAATACATGGTGCCAACACAGAATGTGCTGAAAAAGCTTTTTCTTACTTTTCTTACTTTAGAATTTAAACATATAGCTAAGAAAATGTCACAATTAAAATTTTTTTGCCAGAAATAACAAAATTACCAAAAAGCAACGTCAAAATGATATTTAGCTATTTATAAACTATCCTTTCAGAATATTTCTACATTTTGAAATCCTGCATAATTTTTTTTTTGCATTACTCATGATGATTTTTATGATAACCATTATGTTTTGAGATTTTAAGAATTTAATGTGTATGCTTCATGATCATGTTTTGTTTATGATTAAATTAATCTGTATGTATTCTTTTTTAGAATATTTTGAATTGTATTTGCTTTATCATTGTGTTTTTGGATAGAAATTAATTGTGATAGTAACAAAATTTTGCAAAATAATTATGATTACAATAAATGTAGTTCTTGGATTATTTTGATTTGTATGCTTTTTATGTTGATAAATATATTTCTGTTTTTTCATTTTCTGTCTTCTATTATTCTTTATGTATACTTCTGGATACTTGCTAAATGTGACTACAATAAGGCAATGTATCACATGTCATCACCTTTCCATTGTTGAAACATTTTTAAAAAATAGCAGTAAATTGCAAGTATTAACCATCCTTTTTCTTATAAGATAGCTTGCCAGACAAGGTAACATATGCCCACTGGCAGTTGTCATATTAAGCATTCAATGATTGAAATAGTTGAAACAAGAGCATAGAATTTCAAATCAGGTTGCAATTGTTGAAATAATTGAAATAATTGAAAGAATTGCAGAAATTGTAAGCTACTCTAACTAAGGACATAAAAATTGCAAAAATTGAACAAAATTGAAAGAAATAGCTAGATACCTTTCAATAGTTGAAATAGTTGAAACAATAGCAGAAAATTGCAAACCAGATTGCAGCAATAGCAAGCTACTTTTGAAAGAATTGTAGCAATTGCTTGCTACTCAAACCAACAATATGAAAATTGAAATAATTGCAAGAAATTGATAGCAATAGTAGTAGTATATGAGCTTATACATTGGTCACATAGGGTTCCCCATTCCATTTCATTTCATGGGCAAAATGCGACCAATGTATAAGCTCCCAAAAAAGACCTAAATTCCCTACATTTCATAAATTCATACATTAAAAAAGACCAAAAACATCTTCAATCAATTTCCTACATTCCATCAAAAAAAGCATATTAAAAATACCCTTATATAAAATAACATCCTTGTTTCAATTAACATCCAGTTTTAATAGCCTCGTTTTAAGTAATGTTATTTTTAGTCTAGAAACGGGAGATAACTCTTTTTTTGGAAACACAATTTCCTTTGTTAAATTAACTCATTTAAAAATAGGATGAGTTTAATTCTAAAACACGAACAACACAGATTCGAAGATTATTCGGGCGACGGTATCTTTTCTTCATTATTTTCTCTAGGTAAAACAATAATTCCAAAAGTAACTAGCTTTGTTTCAAAAAACAAATCACTCATTTCAACCGAAGCGAAAGCCATCGGCTCAATCGCGGAAGCGGGAAAGAGTATAAGCAACACAGTGAAACAATCTAACAAGTTGAAAGAATTAGAGCTAATAAGAGAACTTCGAAACAGAAGATTAGAAGAAAGGAAAGGAAAAGGTTTTAAAGTTATAGGATAAAAATGATAGTCGCTCACGCTCCAAAAAGTTATTTCGGTTCAGATATACAAAAATCATTGGGTTCTCTTCCTGGATTTCCATGGGCGAAATATCCCGGAGAAAAACATCTTCCCGGTCATAATTACGCCGGTCCAGGTACTAGGTTAGATCTGCGATTAGACGAAAACGATAAACCCAAACCAAGGGAAGAACCAGTCAATTGAGTTGACGCTGCTGCGCTTAAACACGACATACTATACAGAAACAAAGACATAAACTTCAGACACGAAGCAGACAGACAAATGATAATGGAACTTGAAAATATTTTAAATCCAACTTTCAAAGAGAGAATGCAAAGAGCATTAATCATAAAACTGTTAAAAGCAAAGATGAAATTGGGTATGGGATTAGCGGATGAAATTCACAAAGAATTTAGAAAAACTAAAAACTTTTTAAAAGTAAAAGTGTTTGAAAAAGATGAAATATGTTCAGCCGATTTAATTCATATGCCAGTCAAAAGAGGATTTAAATATTGCTTAACAGTTATAGATTTGTATACAAGATATGCTTGGGTTATTCCTTTGAAAAACAAAACAGGATTATCAGTCAAACATGAAACAATCTAACAGACATCCAGAAAAACTGTGGGTAGATTAAGGAAGTGAATTTTATAACAAAAATATGAAATCTCTGGGATTTGAAATTCACAGTACGCATAACGAAGGTAAAGCTGTAGTAATAGAAAGATTTAACAGGACTCTAAAAAATAAATTATTTAAAAAGTTCACGGAATTGAAATCTCAAAAATGGCTTAAAATATTACCAGAGGTTGTAGATGAATACAATAACAAAATTCATTCATCTATAGGTGAAATTTAAATATCAAACCCAAATTTAAAGTCGGAGATTGAGTTCGTATTTTCAAATATAAAAGCAAATTCGAAAAAGGTTACGTTGGATACTGGACGAACGAAATATTCATCGTTGATTAAGTAAACAGCACATCACCTCCGACATATGAATTAATCGATCAAGACAAAGAACAAATCATTGGAAGGTTTTATCTAAATGAACTTCAAAAAACCGACTTTCAAAAATGAATGAATTTCTCGAAGATGAAGAATTTGATAGAAGATTAAGAGATGTAGACAAGCATTTACGCTTTCTTAAATTTAAATTTTTTAAATTTAAATGCAAATTTATGTTCAAAATATTATTGAATGTGTTTTATCAGAATGTAATACAATTTTTTTCAAACACAAACTACGTATATATTTCATCAATTGGGTTTTCAACAATACTCCTAAAAAAAAATGACATTTAAAAATGAATGAATTTCTCAATAAATATGGAAGTGATACAACCACAAACTTTCAACTTATGAGATGGGCGAATGAGTTAAATATATCACCGTTTTATTATTGTATGAGAGATGAAATAAATGATCTGAAATATAAGAAAGGTAAATTTTACGCTATAACAAATATACACACTTCCGATCAAAAAGGAGTTCATCATTCTGCTTTGTACAAAGACTCTTCAAATGACTTATATTTCTTTGATTCTTACGGATTAGAACCCACTGAAGAGATAATCCAATTGACTAATAAACCAATCAAATGTTCAAAATTTCAAATTCAATTACCGGGACAAAAGTTTTGTGGTCAGCTTTCACTTTGGGTTTTATATCAGTTGAGTTTAGGAAAACAATTCGAAGAAATTGTAATAAATTTAACTCTTTATCTTCATCTTTATCTTTTTCTTTATCTTTAGAAACTAAAAAACCTAACACTACAGCGTGGATGAATAAAGCGAAACCTTACTTTGTGGATCAAATCGGAGACATTCTTCAAGGTGATTTAGATATGAACAATTTCAAAGTAACTAATTTAAAGTCTCCGGAAAACGATAATGACGCTGCTCACAAGAAATATTTACGGGAACAAATAAATTCAATTGAAGTAAATAAAAACCATTTAGAAGATAAAATAAGTAATGTGAAAAGATTCTTCAACTAAATAATAAAAATTTTGTTAATGATACTAAACTACAACAAGAGGTAAAAAGATTAATAAGTTTTATTCAAAAAGAATTGGTCAACCTTTCGAATAAAACTGAGTTATAAAATTTAATTTCATTAATATCTAAATTAGAGGATAAGATTGCAAAACAAAAATTAGACATTCAACAACTAATAGATAACATTCCAGATGAAAATGAAGATACGTTTCAACAGGAATTAAATGCTCTGGAAACTAAACTTAACAGTGAATTACAAAAAGAACTAACAAATATTAAAAAACAAATACAAAACATAGATGATAGTGAAATCAAAACCTATATTTAACAACAAATACAAAACATAGATGATAGCGAAATCAAAACCTATATTCATCAACAAATACAGAACATTGATGATAGTGGTATTCAACAACAGATAACCACTATTAATAACCTAGTTTTGAAACAGGACAAAAATATAGATGCATTAGAAAAAAGGTTTCTCAACAAAGAATCATATTATTTCAATCTTCCATTTGGAAATTTGAGTGATGCTTCTATTACTGATAATACTGATAAATCAAAAGACTATGAATTTAAAAAATATGGATTTACAGCAAATATTAGAGTATATTCTGTTCCAGTTAGTGATATTTCCCCCCAAAATATTTTTGATTCAGATGATGAGAATGATTATCAACCAATATTTTTTAATTTTGATATGTTATTGGAAACGGAAACACAACCATTAGCAAGTATTATTAGAAATCCAAAACCACAAAAAGAAATAATCAATTATCAGTTTTTACGAGCAACAGACTTTGAATACGTAAAACTATATTTTGTTGATAATGATATATTTACCTCAATCGATATTCATAAAAGTCAACAACAACAAAATTTTTTAATACCAATAAAAAGAGATGATGCATCTGTTACTATGTTTTTAAATATTAGTAAACCAAAATTTTCAGTTCATCTGAATAAGATTAATGATTTGAAAGAACAAATATTCTTAGTAAATATGCAATTTTTTAGTAAAGTAGCTTTATCAGATATTCATTTAATTTAATTACCTAAAAAATGAAACTTGAAAGCAGACAAAACTACATGATAGAAAAACAAAACGAACTAAAACAAAAACTAAATCAATTCAACAAATACAGAAAAACATGAAGTAGAATCGATTCCGTTTTCAAAACATTAAGTACAGTTTTAACAGTAGGGATAACGGGGGCAACAGCCGTAACCGGTGGATTAATGCTTCCAATAATTGTCCCAACTGTATTAGCCGCGTTCACTGCCGTTCAAACTTCATCTTGTGGATTTATTACTTTAGGTTTTACATCAAAAAAGAAAGCTTATTATAAAAAGAAAACAGAAATTTTAAATACATATCTTAATAAATTATTCATTTTTTTCGAAAGATCGAGAGAAGACAAGGACATAACAGTTGAAGAATTAGAAAAATTCAATGAAATTTTAGATAAATTTGATGTAGAAATATCATCAATAAAAGTTAAAAATTCCTGATTAAAAATAGATACTTAAAAAAGAAAATAAAAACTAAAACACTTTTTTCAAGGAAATACCTAATTTATTTTCGCGTAAATTTGACGAAGAAGATGAAGAAAAATTTAAATATCTAGTTGATAGGACAGCCGAAATTTTTAAAGTAGAGAGGAGAATGAATTTAAAGTATCAACCACAAATATGCTTTTTTAGAATTAATCAAGAGAATAACTATTCTATTTAAGGATTTTAAAATTAAAGGTTAAATTGAAATAAATGGTCAAATATATGAAGTGGGGAAATATAGACAAGACATGAGATTATCTGGATTCAATTCTCAATTTCCAGATTATTTATTCAAAGATGCATGATAAATCTGACGCATCTGATTGGTATTTTACAGGAGAGATTATTTTCCGCAAAAATAATTTTAGAATAGTAAAAAGATCTAAAACTGGCAGAGGTGGTAATTTACTTAAAAAGATAAATGAATACAAAGCGATGGTTATTGTTTTATAAAGTGTGTAAATCACTTCATGAATTTCAAGATTTCGTCAATAGTTTTCAAAAATCAAACAGAAAAGGAGTTATGACATCTGCTAGAATCTCTGAATTCAATAAGAAATTTAATACTTATTTTCAAATTTATATGCCCAAACATAGACATTTTCAACCAAAGAAAGTATCCCAAGAATTAGATTGGGTATTTTATTTACACAAAGAACATTTCCGTTTGATAAGAAGAAATAACAAAACCTTAGTCATTAAAGAAATAGAAAATAATTACGATGAAAATGTATGGAGAATCTGTGGGGATGATGATGCACTAACATGTTTTGCTCAGTTAAAACTAAACCTGATTTCACAACCTCATGATGATACTTTATACACATGGGATTGCGAAACCTATAGCGAAAATAAAGCCATTCCTTATTGTTGTACTTAAGTCAATTTGGAAAAACTAAGGAAAAAAACTAGAACGAATTAAAAGAGTATTCCCAGATTTAAAGCCAACTAATCCCATTCCAGAAGAATTTTACAACAAACTCATGACTAATATAGTAGAAATATTTGTAGGAACAGATTGTTTCGATTAGATGATGCGTCGTTTAGGTACAGTAGATGAAAAAAAAATTAACCTTAATTTAACAGGAGTAGTTTTGACAACTGGATTGCACTTCAAAGCATTAATAAACTAACACATTGTCCACAATGTCTCTTCCTTTATCTAATCCATATACAGAAGAAAGATTGCAGAAAAAATGGAAAAGAGAGAAAAGAGAGAAAGGAGAGATAAAAATATCTGATAAAAATAAATATTTACAACATATATGTCTCACTTGTTCCTATCAACATGAAAAATCTAGTTTGGCGGCATGGAGAAATTCGTCTAATCTACCGATGAATTTGAGAAAGATTGCCGATATCAATATTGCAAAATACACCAAAGGTAAGTGGGAATCTTTAAGACACGAATGGGAACCTTACGCTAAAAGAGATACGTTATGTCTCAGAGCTTGTTTGATAAATTACAATCAAGCAATGAAAGAAACTGTCTTCCAAAACGTTTCAAATAATCTAAAAAAATAAAATGAACTAAACTGATGGCATTTGACGCTCATGGTTTGTACGCTTCCGCTATGACAGAAGGTGAATATCCAAAAGCTGAAAGTGCAAGAGCGTTTCTACCAGAAGAAAATAAAGAATTTGTTAAGCTCTTTAATGAACAGAAATTCAGACCTAGAACTGCTATTTTAAAAGTTTGGTTTGAATATCCTACCAACATGTTCTTCCAACCCATACAAGCTAAAGATAAAATCACTTTCACGAATAGAATAGGTTAAAAGGAAACTGGCACTAAAATCAGGTTTAGAAATGGTTTCTGCCACGACGTTTTAACATCGGTTGATATTCAAGAAATAGTGAAAGCCAGTGGACGAATCATTAAAATATTAGATGGTATAGTTTACGAAGAAAATTTTAAAACTCCACCCTATAGAGATTATATTTTAATTTTGAAGGAATTAAGGAATAAATACAAAAAGGAAGGAGATGTCAGTAACTGCATGAAGTTGTTAGGTAATTCCTTATATGGTAAATCTATTCAGAGGGATAGAAATACCTCATTGCATTTATGGAATGAAGAAACCTTCCGCCTTAATTACGACAAACACGTCAAGAAGTATGACAAACTAAATGATAGTCAATATATCGTTGAGATAAATGAAAAAGGAAAAGAATTTGTTCCTCCAAAGGATTTTACGAGATTAACACCCACTCATTTAGGTACATTTATATTATCTCACAGTAAAAAAAATAATGAATAATTTTATTCACGTAATAGATGGTTTTTATAAACCAGAAATATACAATACTAATACCGATAGTTTATACATTTCGTCTAGCAATTGGGATAAATTAAATGAAGCTGGGTTGGTGTCTGAAAATGAATATTGCAAAGGAAAGAATGATTATGGTGATGGTGGAATCATATTTGGTTTATATTTAGCGCCAAAAGTTAAATACAATATCATTCTAACTTCCGACGGTATTCTAAAAGAAAAGAAAACGTTTAAGGGTTACTCTAACTATAAGATTAAGGTAGAGGATTATATTCAATTAGCTAGTGGACATGACGTAACGAATGAATTTGATAAACCATGGGGGAAGAGTTTTACTGATGGAATAGTTATTCCTAATGAAAAACAAACTAAAAAATTTAGAAGTTATCTGAATCTCAAAAAGAGAAAAGCAACAGACGATGAAGGAATCATGTATCCGTACAGTGATAAAGAGGAGATGTGCTTGGATGAAAACTACGAATTTGATGATTTAAATTACTTTACCATTCAAGAAGAGAATGAAGACTGTTAATTTTTTTGTTTTAGATGAAGTTGAATAACAATTTCCTCGTTACCAAAATCTATAAACCTATTTTTACCATCTTAAATTTCCAGATTTATATCTTTAATCATAAAGGAATTAAGTGGTAAATACGTCGTTTGAAATGGTTTCTCAATAATTCTATATCCTATCGGTACAGTGAATGTTGGAAGACTGTAAATAATCTGACGTTTGTATTTATTGAAAAATCCACCGTTTATCAAACTGCAATGTATATCTATGACATCGATATCATTCTCGATATTAGCTTTGTGTGGTGCTAAAGTGGATTGGGTGTATACTCGTTTATCAAATCCTAGTAACGTATTCAACGAATTTTCTACATTGAAATCAACTTGACTATTATTTCTTAATATCAATTTTATTTTGTTCAGATTCAAATTACCTTCGAATTCAATATTGTTTTTACCATTGACAATTCCTCCATATTCAGATAGATATTCGTTAATGGCTATGTATTTGTAGCTTACTGGTAGTAAACATATGGTTTTGATTATTTTTTTCGTTGATATTTCTAATTGAATTGTAAATAGAGAAATACTTTAATCCCAATTCATATTCTTGATTGCGATCGAGTTCGTACTCATAATCTAGAGACAATTTAATGTCTGATTTATTTGAGGTGATGACGAATAGTTGTTCTTTATTTGACATTTTTAATCACGCTTTTATAATCATTTTTATCTATGATACCTTTTTCTAGGAGTCTTTTTAATATATAATTTACTTCATTATATTGTCTGTGTGATCGATGTCCTTCCTTCATTGCCGCTAATATTACTCGTAATCTATTAAGCAATTCTTCGTTGTTATCGGATAAAAACGTCATACCTTGTCCAAATGCCACCATATCATCGAATTCGTCTATTTCTTGTATGATTGATTAATCTTCTGCATAATCATCTACATCCTCTTCCTCAATAACTTTTGTTATATATAAATCAACTTCTTTCAATCTTCTTGTTTCGGGTCTTGACTTTCTGATCGCATGTAGAAATTTTGAGTATGATACTAAATCTTTGTAATCGGCAATTTCAACATCCCCGCCATTCATTAAATCTATTAACCCTTTTGTTAATGTAAATATAAAGTCTTTTGTGTCGATTTTGTATTGTGGTGAATTTCCACTAAATCTTATTCTAAAACCATTAAACAATAACCCCACTTCATCAATGATTGGTGAAATGCTCTTTGGTAAATCTGGGTTAGGGTTTGAAAAAAGACGTTATATATCATCTAATGTCTTAATACCACCATATTCAATCGGTTTGGGGTGATGAGGTGTGGGTTCTAATTTCCTTTTAATATCCTCTTGAGATTTTAATATGGGTTGAAATAGAGTTTGTAGATTTTCCGCTAATCCGAGTTGTTGTAATCTGTTATTTTCAACTTGGGTCTTTATTTTATTCTTAGCTTTGATATATTCTTTATTTCTTTTTAAAATATTATTCCAATTATCCATTTTTTAAAAAAATAAAATTTAACAAATGTCTGTCATAATTCTTTCACCTGCAGGTTTTCTAGTATTAACGAATATATATCCATGTTCATCTGGATTTTTCCATTGAGCTTTACAAACCTTTTTAAATGCATCTCTGTCCATTCTGTGATTTATCGATTGATAATGATTTGAGATAAATCTTTATCGTTGAATTCAAATAATAAAAAACAATTTGCATTTTTTCTAATAAACATAGAATCCATCCCGTAAAAAGATTGGGATTGGTATATGCAGTGACAGTTGTGATGTCTTCCCTTCGTGAAGAATTCTTGTTGAACAACTTGATTTCTTTGCGCTACACAATCGTCAAACAATATTAAGTTCTTTCGTTTGCTATCAATATTAGACAAGTCTAGATCATTAACATTTTTCATGGTTTTCTTGGTTTCTTCCCCAAATATTTTTCCAAATTCTTTTATTTTGCCTATCATTTCTCCCACTCCTGAACCTTTTTTACCCTCTGCCAACTTTTCCATTTTTAAATTGTGTCTACGTTCTTCGGCTGCTTTCTTTTCGTTGGCAGCTTTTGTAGCAGCGGCTTTTGCAGCAGCAGCTTTCTTTTCGTTGGCAGAACTTACTGCAGCAGATATCCCACCAGTTGCTACACCCGCCGCGGTAATACCAGCAAATATTAAAGGAAGGAGAGGTAAAAATCCACCTGTCTTTGCGTTGGCGTCAATTCTTTCTAAGTCTATATCGTCTCTGACTTTACAATATTTGTATTTATCAATAAGTTTTTTAGTTATGCTGATTTTTTTACCATTGAAAGTTATTACAGTTGGTGAAGCTGTTTCAATAGCTTCTATTATTTTCATAACTAAAGTTTCTGGTTTCATTTTTAAGTGTGTATTTTTTTACTCAATTCTTATCATTCTTCTATCAGCTATTTTAATTAAATGTTTTGCTTCTTCCAATAATAAACAATAACCTGTTACATTTGTGTTTTATGAATTCACTCATGTTTTGAAAAGATCTTCTTGGTGATAGATCAAAACAGAAGATTGGATGATTAAGTGCAAAATCTACATATTCAAACTGAGGTAGATTTCCAAATAATTCACACATATTTTTATAGTTTCTATACAATTCATTATAATCCTTTGTGGTTGGATTAATTGTTAAAGGTTGGTTAGGATAATTATCGTTGTTTAATCTTACTTGAACTTTATGGATTAAAGGATCTTGAGTTTGGTTCATTGCCACTCTGAAGACATTATTGTTATTCGTTTGAGAATCTGTTAAGTTCTTGAAACCAACCATTAAATATCTTGCTGGTTTAATAGTGTTAGTGATTGACCACGTGGTGGATTCTCCCGTGGGTGAGATGATAATATAATCCTCTTTTTTCTTGTTAAACGAATAACGAATCGGATCGTATAATCTAAAGATTGGATCTAGTATTTTATTTGCCATTTTTAAGGTTTAAAATTTGAGTAGAAAATTGTGTTTCCAAAAAACAAGAGTTATGTCCCTTTTCTAGACTAAAAATAACATTACTTAGAACGAGGCTATTAAAAAATGTTTATATAAGGGTATTTTTAATATGCTTTTTTTGATGGAATGTAGGAAATTGATTGAAGGTGTTTTTTGGTCTTTTTTAATGTAAGAATTTATCAAATGTAGGGAATTTAGGTCTTTTTTGGGAGCTTATACATTGGTCGCATTTTTCCCATGAAATGAAATGGAATGGGGAATCCCTATGCGACCAATGTATAAGCTCATATAATACTTACCTCTCAAATAATTGAAAAAATTGAGAGAATTGCAGCAATTGCTAGCTACTCTAACTAAGGACATAAAAATTGCAAAAATTGAACAAAATTGAAAGAAATAGCTACCTACCTCTCAGTAGTTTAAATAATTGACAAAATTGAAAGAATTGCAGCAATTGCTAGCTACTCCAACTAAGGATATAAAAATTGCAAAAATTGAACAAAATTGAAAGAAATAGCTACCTACCTCTCAATAGTTGAAATAATTGACAAAATTGAAAGAATTGCAGCAATTGCAAGCTACTCTAACTAAGGATATAAAAATTGCAAAAATTGAACAAAATTGAAAGAAATAGCTACCTACCTCTCAATAGTTGTAATAATTGATAAAATTGAAAGAATTGCAGCAATTGCTAGCTACTCTAACTAACAATATAAAAATTGACATAATTGCAAGAAATTGAAAGAAATAGCTACCTACCTCTCAATAGTTGAAATAATTGATAAAATTGAAAGAATTGCAGCAATTACAAGCTACTCAAACCAACAATATAAAAATTGAAAGAATTGCAAGAAATTGAAAGAAATAGCTACCTACCTCTCAATACTTGAAATAATTGATAAAATTGAAAGAAATAGCTACCTACCTTTCAATAGTTGAAATAATTGATAAAATTGAAAGAAATAGCTACCTACCTTTCAATAGTTGAAATAATTGATAAAATTGAAAGAATTGCAGCAATTGCAAGCTACTCAAACCAACAATATAAAAATTGAAAGAATTGCAAGAAATTGAAAGAAATAGCTACCTACCTTTCAATAGCTGAAATAATTGATAAAATTGAAAGAAATAGCTACCTACCTTTCAATAGTTGAAATAATTGATAAAATTGAAAGAATTGCAGCAATTGCAAGCTACTCAAACCAACAATATAAAAATTGAAAGAATTGCAAGAAATTGAAAGAAATAGCTACCTACCTCTCAATACTTGAAATAATTGATAAAATTAAAATAATTGCAAGAAATTGAAAGAAATAGCTACCTACCTCTCAATAGTTGAAATAATTGATAAAATTAAAATAATTGCAAGAAATTGAAAGAAATAGCTACCTACCTTTCAATAGCTGAAATAATTGATAAAATTGAAAGAAATAGCTACCTACCTTTCAATAGTTGAAATAATTGATAAAATTGAAAGAATTGCAGCAATTGCAAGCTACTCAAACCAACAATATAAAAATTGAAAGAATTGCAAGAAATTGAAAGAAATAGCTACCTACCTCTCAATACTTGAAATAATTGATAAAATTAAAATAATTGCTAGAAATTGAAAGAAATAGCTACCTACCTCTCAATAGTTGAAATAATTGATAAAATTAAAATAATTGCAAGAAATTGAAAAAAATAGCTACCTACCTCTCAATAGTTGAAAAAATTGCAAGTAATTGAAAGAAATAGATAGCTAGGTTTCAATTATTGAACAATTGAAAGAATAGAAGAAAATTGAAAGCCAGATTGCAATTATTGAAAAAATGGGTAAAAACTCAGATCCTGCACCTAAATGTATGTTTTTGGATTGCAGAAAGCTCAAATTTCTCTACCAATGGCTCTATCTTTTCTATTTTATCTCTGGTAAACGTAAAAGTATTATAAACCTCAATAGCATCTTCTCCTGCAAGTGTTAGGAATGTAGCACATTGAATTTTTTCTGATTTTGAGTCCTTTCCAGTTGAAGTCATATATAAACTATATGCTTGCTAAAATCTTCTCTGGTTTTCACTTTTACTTCTTCGGTATTGGCAGGTCATAAATAGTAGCCATTCTGTTGATTATTGTGGACTAGACCACTTCTGACACCATGTGATATTTGTTAGAAACAATAAGTCTATATAAAAGACATAAAGTTTATTCACAAGTAGTTAGTACATGTAATGGCTTCTCTTGAAGACAGCATGTCCTTTCAAGGGATCCCACTCTTAACAACTCTAGGGACATAACTCTATATAATAACTTAACTGTGTTCTGTACTATTAGTACAATATAATCTTAATATAAAACCAATATCCTTACATATGGCCATAAAATAATTTAGTAATAACATAGTGAATATTTTGATAATTCTAATTCATAAAGTAAGATGTGTGTGTGTGATTGTTAATAGGGTTGGTTGGTAACTTTAACTAGGGTACACACATACTTTATTTGGATTGAAAATTTCAGGTTTGAGTTTTGTGTATACTTATTCTTTTTGGGTGTACTTTTTGAACTTTGATTTGATTTTGTGTTTTGAAAATAGATCTTGGTACTTAGTTTGTGTTATGTTTATATTCAGTTTTTTCTAGTTGGTCATTTCAACTTTGTGTGTTGAAATGAATTGGAGTTTGAATTTATTTTTGTTTGGACTTCAACTTGTTTTGACATTTTGTATTTATGTTCATGTATTTTGAGTTGGAAGTTGGATTTGAGTATATTTGAGTTTTGGACTTGAGTGATTTTGAGTTGGAATTGAGTTGGTTTGGATTTGAATTTGATTTTGTTGTACTTGATTTGTAGTTTAGTTTCATATATTTCAATATTGTGTATTGATTTTGGGTATTTGGAGTTGTTATAGTTGGTCTGAAACCTCAGTTTTAAAGAAGTTGAAGTTACATCTTTACTCGACAATTCTATTTCTATGGAAACCTAGAGCCAGAAACAAGGAGGAATTGAAGGCTTGGATGTGTGATTTTGTCAAGAGTAAATCCAAGGAAGATGAAAACTTGAAAGAAAGTAAGACCACATGTTTAAAATCAGAGGATGTTTGTGTCAGCACCTCCCAGATTGTCATCTTTTCTGGGGATGAATCTTGTAAGACTAATGTTTGTTTTGATGATTGGAAGTTTGATGTTGAAGAGTTATTAAAAGTCTGATCATAAGGATGAAACCATTTTCATCTGAACATGAGTTACAACCTGTAACAACTGGATTAAGGATTACCAGGCTTCAATTAAAGTTCTTACAACTTCTCTACAGAAGTTGAGCTCTGAGTTTACCACTTTCCGGAAAGAAGTTTTAGGCAATTCTCATAGTCCATGGCCTCCAGATATGTGTAGACTACTGCAGTTAAACCGACGCACCATCAATGATGCATACGCTTTACCCAGGATTGAGGACATGTTGGACCATCTATCAGAAAGTAAGTACTTCTCAACATTGGATATGAAGTCAGGGTATCACCAGATCTGTGTATCTGCCTTTACGGTAGGACCGTTAGGATTTTACCAGGATTTTACCAGTATCATAAAATGCCTTTTGGATTGACCTCAACACCGGCAACCTACCAACAAATGATAGAGAATGCTTAGGTGACCTCAATGAACATATGCTTGATCTATCTGGACGATGTCATCATATTCTAATCTACTTATGAGGAGCATATTGAGCGAATTCACAAGATTTTCAAAGATTCAAGGAAAGTGGGTTGAAGTTGGCTCCGAAGAAATGTCATTTCCTTCAGAAAGAGGTAAAGTATCTTGGGCATGTTGTATCTGCTGATAGCGTGAAAGCTGATCCTGATAAACTTAACATGGTGAAAGACTGGAAAGAACCAACGAACCAGGATGAGTTGAGAAGATTTTTAGGTTTTGTAAGCTACTTCCGTAGGTTTGTTAAGAACTTTTCTCCCATTGCTAGGCCTTTAAATGAGTTGCTAGTTGGTGGACCAACATCTAAGAAGTAGGGGAGAAGAAAGTTGGACACAAGTCCAATGGGGTGATGAGCAGCAGACAGCTTTTGTTGAATTGAAAGAGAAATTGCTCCAACCACCTATTTTAGCTAATGCTGATCCATCACAACCTTGTACCATACACACTGATGCCAGTGGCAGGGGCTTAGGTGGCGTACTGTATCAACACATAGAGGGTAAGGATTGTGTCATAGCTTACGCTAGTACGAGACTGACTAAATCTGAGAAAAACCACCAAGCTCATAAACTGGAATTTCTAGCCTTGAAGTGGGCTGTTACAGATAAATTCGATCATTATCTGTATGGTAACACCTTCACTGTGTTAACAATTAATAATCCCTTAACTTATGTTTTGACTAGTGCTAAACTAGATGCCACTGACACCGTTGGCTTGCTCGT